CCCCACACACACACACACACCAATCTCCGCATTTTCCCCCTCCTCTCCCGCCTCGACCTCACTGGCCCTAACCACCCCCTCCTCATCTAGAAATGGCTTTTCGTTTATTTTAGGCCCCGTTTTTGGGTTGATTGATGAGGTAAGGAAATGGGTTGATATGTTTATTTAATATATTTATTTAATATATTATTAGTTTAAATATTATTACATGTTTTTAAAAATTAAACTACCAAATACAATTTTAGTTTTTTTAAAATTGAAAACAATCTCAGAATAAAACTACCAAACGTATTTTTAGAAATGATTCCAAAATGAAAATAAAAACGTTTTTGTTTTCATTTTCATACAAAAAATAAAAACGTTTTGGAACCAATTCCAAACACACCCTAAAGCTTGTTGAAGTTTTTGCACTTTTAAGCTTGGGTAAGAATGTGCACCTAAGATGCACTCTCACGCGCAGGGGGGGTGCGATTCATCGGGCCGGTGGGTTAGGGGCCCAATGTGTGCACCCGCATGACGTGGGTGACGCGAATTTCAATACGTCGGACTTGTCCTCGCGCAGGTTTTGCTTTGCAATTTTTCTTTTGCATTTTCCAACTTAAAGCTAAAAGTTCTTTTTTTTCTTTTTAATTCGGATTTGGAGAAACTGATGCATTACTACAACATTAGTGCATGGGTTTATGAGCATTTAAGGGGCAAATTAACTCATAATTCTTATGGTTATAACCTAAGGAATTAATTTGGTTAAATCCTCATTATTCCACGATTTAGTCATATTGATGGCATGTTTGTAATACCCCTTTCCCGCAGCCTATATGAAGAGGCTCTCTTCAACCATTTCAATGTAGCAAATTTTCAGAGCTTCGCTTTTCTTTCCAGTGTATTCTTTGTTCTTAGAGTTGTTAGGTCGTCCGGTGATAGAGTGAAGGCACGGTTAGAGTTCGTTGGAGTAGTTTTTTTGTGCTTAAATACTGCTCGTCGCCGTTGTATCTTGGGAGACAGACGCTCGTAATATTCTCAAGCACCTGTGGAGAGGGCGAATCTGTTTTAAGAAAACATTGACAGCTACAGGCCTCGACGTACTCTTGTTCAAAATCCGTTCTTTGTTGGAGGTTCAGTTTTGTTGTAATGATTTATATTTCCGCTCAAATTTCCAGTTAATAATATTCTTCTTGTTTGTTTCTATTTTTGCTTTATATATATGGTTTAACAATCTTAAAACAGATTCGTTTCATAGGCGGACAGGTTACATACTGGATTATAGAGATTTGTTGTTGTTTTCTAACAAATTTTTTGCAGTATTTTGGTTATTCATATGTGATTTTCATATTCATGTGGTTTTGCACTATTTACTCTTCGGTTCTATAATGTCTTAATGCATATGATTGTATTAGTTTTTGAATAGGTTTCTTAATTGTTATTTGTTGGAGGTTTTATGTTGGCTATTAGACGACAAATAATTGGAAATAATTTGAAATTCTAAAACTTGGTCTTGGTAATTTCTCAGAAGTATGGCTACGGACTCAAACTCTAATTTACTTTCTGCTAATGCTAATGCGAATGCTAATGAGGTTGTGGCACGAGTGCCCACCCTGACACATCAAATGCACTGTCTTTGACCTCCCCCACGTCGTTGCTAATTTAGAGGGAACTGACAACTTGAATTTTATCGGAGGAAACAAGTTTTCCGACGAAATTCCTCCTGCGGATGCAATTTTGCTCAAGGTACGTGTTCGTTCTTGCGTTCCCTTTTTAATCTTATTAAAATGAAAGATATTGTGTCAAACGAAAAAAAAAAAAAAAAAAACAATGTTACGTTAACTTTTTAATCATATTAAGTTTAAATGCATTAAAAACAAGTTTATACTGACATGTAAATTCTAAATAATGTGGCATAACATGTTAATTACGTGGTATGAATATTATTGAAGCGACGGGCTGGAAAGGGGACATTGAGGAGTGGACAGGAGAGTTGGATCTTTATTTTTATTAAGGATAAGGATAAAGAAAATTTTATGAGCACCCTAAATTTTTATTAAGCGCACCAAATAAATATATATTCATTTTAATTTGAAATTATTTACATTTTACACTACAACAATAAAAGCCATTTGCGACGACATTTTTTGCGACGACATTTGTCATCGCAAATAATACTCTATTTGCGACGCCATGTCGTCGCAAGTAGTTCCCGTTAAATAAAATAACCATGTCATCGCAAATAATATTGGAGTGCAAATTTCAATGGCGCGAATTTTTGGCGCCAAGGTAATCCGTTTTATTGCGACGATGAGTCGTCACAAATCTCTAACTATTTGCAATGACAAATGTCGTCGCAAATAGTTTGCCTTATTTGCGACGACATTGTTTCTTGTCGTCGCAAATAATCTTATTTCCCGAAAAAGTAGGCGCGGGAAAAAATCATTATTTGTGATGACTTTAAAATTATTTGCGGCGAGAAAATATCGTCGCAAATAATTAGCATCTGTTTATTATTTGTGACGACATTTTAAATTTATTTGCGACGACAATCCAATCATCTTCCAATGTCCTATACGAGAGGATAGTGTTTAAGGATAATAATCAAAAACATTGTTCATGATGAATTTAATTAAAGTTCGGAATCTTTAATTAAAACATTATTCATACATGTCATTCTTATTTAGAATGGAACGGTGCTATCCGCACTGTTAATATGGTGAGATATTGAATGAGTGTATTACGCATAATAAGATTATGTGGAACAGGGACATAGACACAATATGAATTTCTAATAATTTCCGTTAAGCATAGAAATTCTAATTGAGTCTACTGATGGTCATATATAGAATGATCTTAATCCTGAGTTCTTAACAAACTCCTATTTATGGATTTATGTCTTTTAATTTACTTGGTACGGATTCCAAGACCATGAATCCTATTCCTTATATTTTGGAGACGTGATGAAATAGGTAGCTGGGAATGTTATTATACAAGATGGAATCCATTCCTTCTTGAGAAAGAAGTAGATAAATAATTCTCTTGAGTGTTGATTCGGTACTTGGATTAGTAAGAGCGCTCTGGTTCATGAATGTGTTTTATGAATCACTATCCATTAGAGAATCAATGGTACTCAAGGATGAAGATATAATTAGAGAGGTTAACGGATTCTACCTGACTCTAATTATGAATTATTTATGGAGGGTTGATCTATATGTAATGACTATATCAAATGGACACTTCATTGTTTAGAAGTAATTAATGTCTATAATTTCGAGAGTTCAATTCCAAGTTTATAGTGGAGTAACTATTGGAATTAATAGAATTAATTAATTAATTAAAGTGTTTAATTAATTATTAATTTTATTGGAGCTCGGGATTATAGGTCCATAAGTCCCCGTGTCGTCCTTGTAATTCTACCAGACACAAAGGATAAAATGAGAATTTTAGAATTATGAAATTCTAAAATTAAATGCTCGAAAAATAATTAATTGAGAATTAATTATTATTTAAATAATATGATTATTTAAATTTGAATTTGAATTGTGAACATAATTTAAATTTAACCTTTTGAACTTATTTGATAAGTTGTTCAATTTAGAATTTAAATTAATTTAAGTTTGACTTAAATTCGAATTTGAATTTGAATTAAAATTGGACTACAGGATAAAGGATGATTTCTCTTCCTTCCCTATCTGTTATTGGCGCCACACACAGGGTAAAAACCCTAAGGGGTGGCCGGCCACTTTATGGATAAGTAGAGGAGATTTTGTTGTTCCAAATTCAAATAGGAGATAGAGATTTGATTCTGTTTTGAAGTTTGACTTTTACTCTTTAAATATGAGAATGATAGAAAATTGTGGAGACAATTTTTGAAAACAATTTTCTACCCTAAGAGGTAATGGTGGCCGAAATTCTCATTGAAAAAAAAGAGAGGAAAATTTTTCTCCCAAAAATTCCACATCGTGCATGCGTTGGTGTTTATGAAAATTCGAGTGTTTTTAGAAACCTGTTTTATCCCACGTGTGCCCACACACACATCTACGTGGAATCAAGAAATTAACGTGAAAGACTTTGCGATAAGTTGATTTTTCATCAATTTATCCTCGTCATATATTGTAGTTTTTGAGCATATTTCAGTTGATTTGTCACTAGTTTTATGTTTACGTTAATCTATTTAGTAGGATTTGCAAAGTGGAAAAAATCACGTGAAAAAGATAAAGAAGTCCATGAAAAT